CACAAACAATGAATCATGGAACACTATATCTAAAACTAATGATGTAATGTATGGGGATTAACATAACAAGAAAAAAAAGAAAAAAAAAAGAAAAAGCAATTAGAATGGAAACAATACTCAAAGGCACATTGAAGAAAACTTTCCTGAGCTAAAGAACAGATAGGCCTTTATATTTTTTAACTGACTTCTTCTACACTGACCTATTTTCATAAGTATCTCTACCAGATAGGGAATTTTTAAAATGGAACCCACGAGGTCATTACCTCACCTAATTAGACCTTTCTAAGGCCCAACCCAAAACAAATAGACCTTTCTGTTTTTTAAATAACCTTTTTATTTTGAATAATTTTAGCTTTATAGAAAAGTTGCTAACACAGCATTCCTGTGTGCCCTTTACCCAGCTTCCTCTAATGTCAACACCTTCTGTAAACACGGTACATCTGTCAAAACTAAGAAATTAGCATTGCTACAATGACCGTTAACTAAACTGCAGACTTTATGCGCATTTCATCAGGTTTTTCACAAATGTCCTTTTACTGTTCTAGGATCCAATCCAGGACACCGCACTGCATTGGCTTTCATATTTTTATAAAAATGGAACTGCAGTGGGAGACCGTAACACTGAGTTAGCCATGTGAGCTGCCCAAAAGTCACTCCTTGGACCTCACCTTGTCTCATTCCTAACTGCCCTGGCCTCTGACTTTCTAATTCCTCCTGGTTTTTCTCCTTGCCCCTCGGATCTGATACACACTTTGACCTTGGAACTTCTAGCAATAATGCGTTTGTTCTCCATATGCACCGCACTGCCCCCAAGGGCCTTGGGTAATGTCCCTTTCAGTTCCCCTGCTCTATTCCCGGCACTGCTCACCCCATGCTGCCTCCTTGGGGCACTATCACCCCAGCCTCCCCTGATATGTGGTCAGAAACGAATCATCGTGAATTGCTCTCTCGCTCTGCTCTGTATTCTGGTTGAAAGACAACATCAGTCTAGAGAAGTCTGAGGAAAAGTGAAAAATCAAAACCATTTCTGTTTACACACAACTCAATATGCCTCCTTCCTCCCTTGATAAAGGTGACACCTTTTGAAAATGTTATTATTTCAGTTTTTCAAAAGAAGAAAAAGCTTTTCATGGCTGGGTTTGTGGGATTCCTCTGTTAGGTATTGTCCGGCGGGTTCACCACAGCCTGGGATCAGCCCCTCAAACTTGCAGGGTGAAGAGCCTCTACTTAATCAACTTCCCAGGGGGGATTGCACTTCAGAATGCTCACCATGCTAACAAAATCTCTAAGAAGTGGAAATAAAATCAGAACACCAACTCATTAATTTATAGTGAGCAATACACCTGACAAGCGAATCCATCACTGTGTGGGCCTGACCAACCAGCCCCATAGTAGCTTGGTGAGTGTGGAAGCAGAACAAAGGAGTTCTAGAATCTGAAAATTGAATGGCTTCAGGCCCTGAAAAGCTGAGGCTCCCATTTCCCCAGTAAGGACAGTCCTGGCTGGTGGCTTGGTGCTTCCCTGACCTGGCCGGGCACTCCCTCCCCTGGGCACGCTTTGCACAACACTTCTCTCTGTGCTTCTGCATCTGACCAGTCCCTTTGGCTCAGGTACACTTCCAATTCTTGTCTGGGGCTGGGGGTCATACTGGCTCTTTAAGCTGATGATGGTTCTGATCAGTTGTGTTAGAATCTGTATTTTAACCCCCAAAGACTCACTCACTTCTAAGTCCCTAGTGTTTGTGTGAGTCTGTGTGTGTCTGTGTCTCTGTGTGTGTGTGTGGTACTGTCATGGATGCCGTCTGTGTCCTGGAGTGTGGTTTTCCCTGACCCCCGCAAAGTGAGGAGATTGTCTGGGGAAGCGGACTCTGAGGTGGAGATCTGTGTGCAGGAAGGACACAGGGCGTACTCTTGGCAGTAAGACCTGTGGGGGAGAAAAGAAGCAGAGCTGGGCAGAGCCAGAAGGTGAACTACAATGCAATCACAATGAAAAATACCAGCCGATTCTGGGAGAGCTGTGAATCCTAGGTGGCCCTTCCAAGTTGTCTTGAATTGGGGCAAGACGCTGGGCCTATGGTCACTGGATGGGTGGTGTAACCCCGGTGAGGGACGACACTCCCCTCAGCTGGGGAAAGGAGTGTGTCAGTCCTGGGTGAGTGAGATCTGAGCAGCACGTCACAGCACTTGTCACAGGGAGAAATACACCTCCTGGTAAAGCGCTTATAACCCACATTCAGACTCTCTTGAGTTTGAATTCTGCTCCAGCCATCTCTTGCCTGAATGATTTTTTTTGACGGGTTCCATAATTTCCTCATCTACAAAATAGATAATGTGGTTTACCTCATAAGTTTTTTTGCAAGGATTCATTGAATAATCTGTGTCAAGTGTTTAGGTTAGGAGCAGACACACAGCAAACACTCATTAAATGTTAGCTGCTAACATTATGCTAGTTCCTATATTTTTTTGGCCCAAACTTTAAATTCATTACTTATATGCTTTTATTGTATAAAATGTTCTCCGTTTCTTCTAAGCCTCTAAGCACTGAAGGGGTTGAGTGTAAGCCCAAGATCTGGTCTGCAGTAAAAAGGACATGGGGCTCAGTTATAACCCAACTAACTCCCTCTTTTGAGCCTCATCAGATGGAGGGTTGATTATTTACCGCCTGTCTCACAACCGGGCCGTGCTGGCACCTGGGGTGGGGCAGAAACAAGGCAAGGTTGACGGGTACTGTTTGACAAGTGACAGTAACATACTCACAAACCTTGCTTCCAGAGTGTGGCTTCTGAGCAAGGCCAAGGGTATGATATTATCTATCATAAGGAGATTTTCCATTTCCCATGTCGAACCCTGCCAGGCGGTTAAAGGACATAGAGAACACGCCGACAGCTTGCTGTGTTCCTGACCCCATTATGCAGCCAGTGGACCAAATGTGCCTCCTCTGAAAATAAACAGTTATTCATCAACTTGTCTCTCACTAGCATGGTGTAATTATCTTCCCAAAGTTATGAATGGGATGATAGGTTCCCAACAAAAAGAGCATGATGGAAAGATGGGTTTCGGCAGCATCAGTTTGTCCCTGGGCCTGACTCTCCCTGGGCTGCTTCTGCCGCTGATCACACACGTCTCAAGCCGGCCAGCTTTGTGAAGTGCATCAGAGAGGGAGGGGCCCTTCTTGGGGACAGTCAGAGCTCTCCGGTGCCCCAAGGGGTTTTGTGTCGCACGGAGCAGGGGGTGGGGGGGTGGGGGGTGGTGGCTATGGTTTGGGAAGGAGTTATGATAGACCCTGGCTTTCTGACTTAATACTAAATAATAGCACCTCAAATCCCAGTACTATTTCTTTTTTTTTTTAAGATTTATTTTAGAGGGAGAGAGAAAGGGGGCAGGGGGAGGGTCATAGGGAGAGGGAGGAGGAGACTCTCCACTGAGCGCAGAGCCCAACTCACGGCTTGATCCCACAACCCTGAGATCATGACCTGAGGTAAAATCAAGAGTTAGATGCTTAACCGGCTGAGCCACCCAGGTGACCCTCCCAGTATTGTTTCTAACAAATATCATCACCATCCTCCCAGTAGCCAAGCTAGAAAATGTAAATCACCCTGGACTGTTTCCTGATCTGTTATCACCATACCTAACTAATTTCGAATTGCTATAGTCACTGTTGTTATCTTGTGTCTTAATGTTGATCTCCTCCTGTCTTCTACTCTTGATGCCTACTTGTAACATACATTCAAATGGGCATGGAATGATTTTTTTAAATTGCAGTGGAGAGGGGGTGAGAATTCCATGGTGATTATATGGCACCAGAATTAACCAGAGATTTAAATTTGTGTAGAGCAATGGCAAACAAAGTAATTATGGAGGAAAATAAAGTGGTAGCTATGAGCAGACACTCTTGGCTGTGAGCAGACACAACCTCTCTTCAGAAGGAGGGGTTGGCACCAGAAAGTAACAGAGGTGCTTTATGGTTTGGGATCCTGTGTGTTCTAGGGATGTATTAGAGACCTTTAACGAATTAATGATACCAGCACCTGCTGCAAACTAGTGGCAACTCTGCAGAGAGCAATGGAGAGGCTCCCAGGATCTGAGAAGTGCTTTTCTCTTCCCTTTTCTTTGATCAAACATTAGATTTATGAATATACTCACCCCACCCTGCCCCAATTAGAGTAGACTTGTTAGCCTTGATTAGAAGGTTTAATATCTATGATATATTTTCTGTGTTAATTAACTTCCTCTCCATGACCTTGTATTTAAACTACTTGCAAAGAACAGGGAAGACACAACTCTATTTCATATGACAAGTATTCCCAAATCTGTAGGTTTCGGAAGTGCCACTCCAGACAAGTTTTCCTTGGGGAGGTTGCCTCAAATCTTGGGGAAGGGGGTGCTCACCTGTATGTGCTACCATCCTGTCTCCTGTCCGCTGTCCTCATCTTCACTCTGCCCACCCCCTAATCCATCCTCAGCAGAGTCATCTTTTTAAAGGACACACCTGAGCAAGCCAGTCACTGGGAGGATTTCCCCCACTGCCTACAAATCAGACTCTTAAATAAGGTGTTGAAGTGTCTTCCTTTGAGCTGGCTCCCGCAAGCTTGCCGGCCCCATCTCTGACCGTGCCCTTTCTGGCCTCCCTGAAGGTTCAGATACCTCTGGAGTTCAGGCACTGGACCTCCATGATGCAGACTGTTCAGATGACTTCTCCACACCAAACAAACCATATGCGCTTTTGTATTTGTGCTATTACACAGCTCCCTTTATTTGAAATGTTCTTGTCTCTAGTCTCCACCTACTAAAACCCTAGTTCACTTTCAAGGTCAAATCCTATCTTCTCCATGAGAATTTCCCACATGCTTTCAGTCAGTACCACACAGGACACTGCCACTGTCTTTGTTTAGACACTAGTTCATTCTGACCTCTGTTATGTTAGTTTGATCATGTGTTTGCTCATTCCATAAATATTTACTATTGACCTTCTATGTCTCAGGCTTTGCATCAGGCACAGGAGATAAAATGGAGAGCAAGATCGAAATTAGACACTCTTCCAAACAGCATGGCATGATGAGGACCACTGCTCCTGGATCCTAATAGCAGGTACTGTGGGATGAACCAGGGAGTTCCTGGGCAGTGTGACTTGGGGAAGAATAGGTAGAGGTCAGTCTAGCTATCTCGCCTTGGTTTCACTAAATGGGGTGTGAGACTTGGTGGGAAAACTGAATTGCTTGGGACAATAGAGGGAATATTTGGTGCCTTGACGAAAAAGAGGGCAGAAGAAGGAAAATCCTCAGAAAGTAGTTCTTTCTCTAAAGGGAAGAGGCTATACAGAAAAATTAAAATATCCAAGAGCAAGTTGGCTTAAAGTTGCTGTGTGTATGGAATTAAGTTAGATCATCCATGGAAAGTATTCAGCTCCGTTCCTAAAACATACTAAGAATCAATAGAATTTAGTTGCCTAAAATTTTAGTTATTTCTCTATCCCTTCCTCTGAACCTCTATGAAATCTTCATTCTCATCAAGATTGTTTGTCAGTCCTCTGGAGCTGGACGTGTTAGGGGAAGGGAGGATTTCAGGAGAATGGGACAAACTAAGTCTGGCCTCAGGGTGGGCTTTGGGGAAAAAATCAAAGGCTGCCCAGAGAGAACCAGTCACATTTGGGGCGTATACCATTTATTGTAATGGCCCACAAAGTGGGCCAAGAGCTTGATATACATTATTTCACCTCATCCTCAAAACACCCTGTGATGTAGGTACTATTATCATGCCCATTTTAAAGATGAGGAAACCGAGGCACCAAGAACACAAATGATTTGCTCCAAGTCATACAGGTAATAAGTGGGTGGAGCTGGTTCAAATCCCAAATCTCCAAAGCTCACCCACTCTACTACTTTGCCCCACGGTTCCTCCACTAACCACAAGCCCCTTGAGGGCAGGAAAAGACAGTGTCGAGAGGAGGCATGGCCTCGGACATTATCCTCATTCTATAAATACGAGAATTAAGACTCTGGAAGTCAATTAACGTAACCCGTATGTTTTGAAATTAGTTTTTCACTACCACTTTTATCTTCTGACTCCTACTCAAGTGCTCTTTCCATCATAGGAGGCTGACTTTTCTGTGAGAACAATTCGCATGTCATGCATGATTGCTGTTTCCACTCCTAAGTTGATAGGATCACCAAGTCCCAGCCAGGATTAGAGTCTTCTTCGATTTATGGCTTATTCTTTTCCGGTCTGGGTTATTCAAAGGTCAGTTGGACTAATGGATGAAGACTGCTTTGCAGTCTATGTTCAATTTAAAATGCGTGATGCCTGTCAGACTTACTATTTTTTGAAAGAGAGCTCTCATTGGAGCAGAGATGCTATTTTAGAGATGATTCTGTGATTGGTTTTAGAGAGTAGATCAGATATGATTCAGAAAGATAGTGTTGAAATTCATGACATGTGAAAAAATGGGACCTAAATTCTCAAATGAACTCCTAATAAAAACAAAAAGATTCTCTGAAATAGTTCACAGTCTTTTGAGGCTATTAAGAAAGTGCCCAGCCAGGACTGAAAAGTGCATTAATGGTTATTTCTTTATGGCAATTGAATTATAGCATCAATCTCCACCTAGCTTGAATCACACTGAAAGAGGTTATTTTAAAAATTAGATACAAGTGTTCTGGTTTAAAAGGTGGCTGGCTAGTAACCCTTGACCCAACCTCTTCCAACCTCCCAATAAAAGTCTATGAAGAAAGAGAAAATGTCAAAAATGCATTTAAAAACCTGCAGACTAGCGCTGACAAACTGCTAGAATCTGGTACTAATTAACACCAACTTGAACGCCAATGGGATCAGCTTGAGAATGTAGCTTCTGTCCTACCCTTGCTCTGATACTAAAAACAAAGTAAGCCAGCTAGGCCAAAAACAGTAAGAATAATAATAGTATTTACACTGTTGAAAGGTGAAAAGGCATGTTAAAATTTTTTAAAGTTTATTTTAGCTAAAGCCAGTTTGAATCAGGAAATGCCAAACTGGAACTGGTCTGGAGCACTCCATGGTCAGGAGCTCTGGGCAGGACTTCTCAGAGAAGAGGCAGAAGCAAAACAAGGAAATTATTTGATTAGCTGTAGCTTAAGCAGTTGCATTATTTGGGAAAGTCTAGTTGGCTGTTTGTGATCGGTTGTTCTTCTTACCCTTGAGGCATTTACAGGAATTGGCTCTGGCTTAGGTTTTGGATTGCTTACTAGGCTACTCATGGCCTTAGAGCCACCTCAGTCCGATGGCCTCCTTGTTTGACTCCTTCAACAACACTTACTGAGTGCTGCCTATGTGTGAAGTAGTGCTCTAAGCATTTTGCATGAATTACATCGTCCAACCCTCTCAACCACCCTATCAAGTAAGGACTATTATTTTTCCCATTTTACAGATGAGGAAACTAAGGCACAACGAGGCTAATTGTCTTGTTCGGGGCCACAAAGCTACTAAGTAATTGAGCCAAGCTTAAAATCTACATGTTTTATCTAGTCCCTCTTTCATTTTGTGTCTAGTTCAGAAAGACAAGGTCTTTATATCAGCAGTCCAGGCAGCCATAAGTCCACAATGTCCAGTGATAACAAAGTGTATTGTCGTGAAACGTAAGTGCCAAATTGCAAAGCATCAAACCAGATAAAGAAAAAAAAATGGTTACAAACATAAGAAAAAACTGATAGTTTTACAATTATCTGGGTGATTTCTGTAGACAAATTAGGAGCAAAAAATAAAACTCCACAAAACTGGGTTTATAGAGAATTTGAACAATACATACATATTAAATAATATTATAAACCAAATTATCCCTTTTATTAAAATGCTTGAGAAATATTTACAAAAACAGACCTTACAATCAAAGAAAGACAATTATCATATGATCTCACTGATACGCGGAATTTAAGAAACAAAACAGAGGATCATAGGAGAAGAGAGGAAAAAAATGAAACAAGACGAAACCAGAGAGGGAGAGAAGCCATAAGAGACTCTTAATCATAGAAAACAAACCAAAGGTTGCTGGGGGGGTTGGGGGTAGGGGGATGGGGCAACTGGGTGATGGACATTGGGAAGGGTATGTGTTGTAATAAGCACTGGGTATTATATAAGACTGATGAATCACAGACCTGTAGCCCTGAAACAAAGAATACATTATATGTTAATTAATTTAAATTAACAAGGGGGAAAAAAACCAGACCTTATACTAGACCACAAAGGACAGTTCAATAAATCTCAAAAATGTAGAGTACGTTCTCTGTCTAAAATAAAGTAAATCTAGAAATCAAGAAAGTTCAAGGGTAAGGCCCTCCATCTCATGGAAATGAAAAATGCTCTTCTAAAAAACTATCATTAAGAGAGGAAATCAGTGGCACAATTGAAGATTATTTAGAAAATTGCAGTAAGAATATAGTACATCAAAACTCATGGGATATTGTCAAAGCTATCCTCATAGGAAAATTCATAGCATAAAGTGATTTCATTATTTAACAACAAAATAAAGCAAATAAACTTTCTTCTTGAACTCAATAACTTTATAAAATAAACAGCAAGGTAAATACGAGGCAGAACAAACACTGTGCAATTGATAGATGCAGAGACTGTAGAATGGTTTTCTTCGTGTTCCAGTCCGAGGCTCATTTTTTGTCATCTTCTTCCATAGAAGCTGCAAAGTAAAATAACTAACTTCCTGGGGTCCCCTGTAGTTAGAAGTGGTCATGTGAAAAAAGTCTTATCCCTGAGATATCAGTGGAGGATGATTGACGGGGCTTCTGGGACCCACTCTTGCTTTAATGGTCAAAGGGGTACAGACAGAGATGATTTAGTGTTTTCCCCCTTCCCCAACCACATTTTCTATCTTGACAGTGCTTCTGATATCTGAGGTCATAATAACCATCTTGTGACCAGAAAGCCACCAACATGAGGAGAAAAGCCAAAAGGGTTGGGGATGGTGAATCTGAAGAACAGAATGAGACTAGATCCCAGAGACCCTGGTGAGTAGCTGAACAACGCCAGCAACCACCCACTCTGAACTCATGATTATGTTAGAAAAATAAATGTTTATTTGAAGCCACAATTAGTTTCATTTTGTGATGCAAGCAGCCAAATACACTTCTAACTTATATGGTATACAAATCAAAGAGCTGATTCTGAAAATAAAAATAAAACTTCTGGCAAATCTAAGTTTTAAAAAGAGTGACAAGAAAATAAATAAGATTAAGATTTATACCAGTGTATCATAGAGAGAGAATTTTACAATTTTAAGAGGACATCAGGCCAATGACGTCAGCAATCTCAAAATGGATCTTTTGCTATAGAAAAGAGAAATGAAAAAGAATCATTGTATATTGGGGTTTTTTTTTTTTTTTAATTTTTTTTTTAGAGAGAGAGAGAGAGCGCAAGAGGGGAAGGGTTAGAGGGAGAAGCAGACTCCCCGCCGAGCAGGGAGCCCGATGTGGGACTCGATCCCGGGACTCCAGGATCATGACCTGAGCCGAAGGCAGTCGCTTAACCAACTGAGCCACCCAGGCGCCCTATTGGGGGTTTTTTATTGCCTTCTAATTATTTGTCAGGAGTTGGCCAGGAAAATGAAACACTCTGGGTATTTTGAGGAGAATGTGATTTAGGACAGGAAACCATATGCTTAAAAAACTATTGGAAAAACAAAAACACACAAAACCACTGGAAGAGGCAGAGAACCGAAGGCTAGGGGAGATGGCCGATAGCACTCAGGTTCTTGTTGGCTTTTAGAGAATCAATAAGTTGCTACTGTCTCCCCATTCTGCAACTGCAGGAAACCAACCCCTGCCAATGGTCACAGTTGCCTTCCCCACCAAGTGGGTATCTCTGGCGGGAAGGGCCCTGAGGCCACTGCACTGCAGGAGGAGAAATAACAGCATATGTTTCCTTCTGCCTTTTAAATCTCATAGTGAGTGCCTCTCATTAATAGACTGTGAGTCAGAACCCTGCCTGCAAAGGATTTGGGGAAATGCAATTCTCAGTTTTCTACCCCCTATAATGCAGAGAGCATAGAAAGGGGAGGAGGAGAATGGTACTGAGTATCAGCAGCCATCCTGGCACATTTATTTATTTTATTATTAAATATTTTATTTAGGAAAACATGAAAAGCTCATATTCATTCTCTCTCTCTCTCTGTAGTGATTATATATTTTATATACTTACAGAACAATTATATAATATATAGAATAATTATATATAATATATAAATACATACGTATATATGCCCATGAAATTCCCATGCTATGTAACTGTGCACACCCCCCAAAATATATTGTATTAAAATTCTAGAAACAATTATGTTCAAACAGGTTTATGTACAGATAATTTAATGAAGAGATTGTTTATGGAAGTGTGATTGAACATTTAGGGAAGTTCACATAAATAGAGGTATTCCAGACTAGCAACAATGGGAAGCCATTACCATCCCAGTCTGAAAGGGACAAAGGGAGTGTGGAAGTTTTTAAGGACATCCACAGATTTTTTTGCTACTTCTCTCTTGAAGAAATAGGATTTAATTCCCTTCCACTTGAGTGTGGGCTGGACTTAGTGACCCCTTCAAATGAACAGAATGTGGCAGAAGTGAGGGTGTATGACTTACAGACTAAAAGGCATGTGGCTTCCTCCCTGTTCTCTCTCTGGATCGCTTGTTCTGGGGGACACCAGCTGCCATTTTGTAAGACATTCAAGCAACCCTTTGGAGAGGCCCACAGGGTCAGGACCCGAGGCCTCCTGCCAACAACCACATGTGAGAACTTGGAATCAGGTCCTCCAGCCCCAGTTAAGCCTTTGGATGAGTGCAGCCCAGCCAGCATCTTGGCTGTAACCTCAAGTGAGACTCTGAGCTAGAACTACCCAGCGGAGCTACTCCTAGACTTCTGACCATCACACATTATGAGACATAATAGTGTTTGTTGTGAAATTTGGGGGCAATTTGTTATACTGTAATAGAGAACTATGCATGGAGAAAAATAATGTCCTTAGAGAAGATTTGAATGGTGGCAGAGGGCTCCTGAGCAGAAACTGTAGCCATAGAGGTTATGGCCGTTCTCACAGCCACTGGGCCCAGGCTCAGGGGAGAGGCAGAAGAAAGCCCTCTGTCCTCTCTCCTCCTGCCCTTCAAACTTCTGCCAGTGCAGATGTTGACCAAGCCCAACAGAAGCTAGAGGGCAGGTGAGCCCCAGTTTGTAAAGATTAGCCACAGGGCACAGAGCAGGGCTGAGCTGGTCAGAGGATGAATCTTATGGTGTCAATAAAGAATGATCAAGACCTGTTGAGACCAAGCTTACTCATGAACAGTATTTCGATCAGGTCGGAGAAGGACAACCACTAGGGAATACAGGACATAAGGGATATATCACATGGGTTGGACCTTATGCAATCGTGGGAGCTGGTTACACAAATTCTTTATGGCTGTTGTGTTTGTGTCTCAGGCTGGAGCCTGAGCAAAGCAGGCAGTGAGGAAAGAAAGATGGAGGTTAAGTGGGGGCAGCAAGAACTAAAGCCTACAAAGATGGACTGGAATCGACATCAGTCTCTCACTGCCCCCAAGTCTCCAATTTTAGTGATCGAGCGATCTGCGGGAGAAATTGGTCGGCTTCCGGTGGAGCCGAAATGTATCCAGGTCAGGGGTCAGTGAAACTGAAGGTGCTGGCCTACCAGCAGCTGGAGTTGCTGTGCACCAGGCTGCTGTCCCATCCCAATCAGGTGAGCCAGTGGAGCAGTGACAAACTCTGAGTGGCATCGATGCCTCGTGCCCTGCACTGACCTGTGAGCATAATGAGAATAGGGCTCGGGCTTCACTTCTGCCTTCCCAGTCTCATACCATTGTCTCTTGTGGCCCGTTTAACCCAGAACTACGCAGAGAAGGGAATTCTGGAAACAGCACCAGCCACACTAAGTCGATACAACACAAATCTGCCACAAAGTTGCAAAAGGGCGAAAATATAATAACAGCAAAATGAAGTACTAGGAGACCTGTCTACCCCAGCTAAATCGGGTGTACTCCGAGGAAGCAAGGATAGTTTCATGTTAGAAAAATCTAATAATACATTAACAGCAGTTCAGCAATCTCAGTGAGAAAAACCACATAATAATCTCAATAGGTGACAAAAAGATGCTCAGATAAAATTCAACATCCATGACTGATTTTTAAAAATGCCCATAGAAATCTAGGAAAAAGAAGAAACTCCCTTTAACATACATCGGATATTGACAGCCTGTCCCATTCCTAACGTTGACCAGAAACATTTCCATTAAAACCAGGAAGAGGCAGAGATGCTGCGTGTCTGCATTGTTATATAGTAGCACTGTTCTAGAAATTCTATCTGATGCAATGAGACATCAGGCAGAAATAAAAGGTAAAATTATTGGAAAGGAAGAGTCAAAATTACTGTTATTTGCAGACAATATGATGATACATCTTTAAAAAGAACTGCAGGAGGATCAGCAGCAAGCTCTTAACATTAATTCAGAACAAGTCAAATGGTGGCATACAAGAAAAATGGACAAAATCCAGTAGCTTTCTTCTGTGCCAGCAATACCACTCAGATAATATAATGAACAGAATTCAATCATAATAGAAACTAGAACACATTGAATACCCCATGACGTTGGCATTTTTGAAAAATACAGATCATTGATTTTGTTGAATGTCTCTTAATTTGGGCTTGTCTGATGTCTCCCCATAATTAGATTCAGGTTATGCATTTTTGGCAGGAAGATCTCAGAAGTGATGTTGCGTCCTTCTCTGTGCATCCTGTTATGAGGAACATGATGTCAGCTTGTCCCATTATTGATGATACTAACTTTGATCTCGGTTAACATGGTATCTGCAAGGTTTCACTTCTGTGAAGTTATTATTTTTCCCTTTGTAGTTATTAAGCACCTTGTGGGAATTGATTTTGAGACCACGTAAATATCCTTTTTCTCATTAAACTTTCATTCATTGTCAACTATTTTCTATGACAATGCTGGCAAGGATGTGGTGAGATGTATATGTATACACAGTGCTGGTACGAGGATAAATAGGTCACATTCTCTGAAGAGCACTTGAGTATGCTTAGGAGGATTAAAAGATGTCATAGTCTTTGGCACGCCTGGGTGGCTCAGTCAGTTAAGCATCTCCTCTCGGCTCAGGTCATGATCCCGGGGTCCTGGGATCCAATTCTGCATTGGGCTCCTTGCTCAGCGGGGAGCCTGCTTCTCCCTCTCCCTCTGCCTCATCCCCTGCTCATGCTCTCTCTCTCTCTCTGATTAAAAAAATAAATAAAATGTCATAGTCCTTGAGCTCATAATCCAACTTCTAGGGAATCTATTCTGGGAAGGATGAGTATCTGAAATGTGGCCGAAGAAGGACTGTTTTCATTTCAGAAATATTTATAATATGGACAATTTGCTAACATGATAAATGGTCAACAATAGGCAAGTGGATAAAGAAGTTATGATAGTTCTATATAAAGAAATAATATACAATCAATTGCAGTATTCTTAAAGATTAATGGAAAAAAATAGTCACTGAACACTGTTGTTTGAAGATAGGGGTTTTGATCTGCACACGCACCATGTGCTTATAGGGTAGTAGCTTTTCGTAAATATCTTTTTTAAAATTTTAATAGTATCTGTTTCCAAATGCAGGTAATTTTCAGTTTCTTTTCTATTTTGCTGTATTTCCTCAGTGTACTGAATGCAACATCTTTGCATTCTTTTTATAATTGAAAAAAATCTTAATAAAAAGCTGTAGGTACAAATTAACTTTCCTGCACATTTTCCTTGTACACATTTGCCTTCAATGTGTTACCTCCCCTGGAGTCAACAACAAAGAGTCAATGGAGCAGCTGACAAAGCAGGTAAAATCAGTTTGCTGTGTTTGGTTGCTGTTAAACTACGACGTGTAATCCTGTATGAGCATATCCATCTGGTCAGACCATTTTCTTTATTAATCTCACACATTTAATCAGCAATTCACCCAATAGTTTGGCAATATTTTATAACGGACAATGTACTTTTGTATGCATTATCTCATTTATTAGATGCTAAGCTTATTTAGGTCATTTTAATCCAACTGTGAAGAAAACCTTAAAAATTTCATTGAAAACTCAAGTCACTTAGCCTCTTTAGAACTCTCTTCCCTTGCTCTAAGCACCCTGCGGTAGGAAGGATGTGGGCCTGAGACAACACAGACCAGGTCTGAGTTGTCTTTCTGCTCCTTATCAACAGTGTGACCCTTGTCCAGTCACTTCGTCTCTCTGTGCTTCATTTTTCTGGTCTTTGAAACAAAGGGCTCCTAAGGTTCCATTTTAGGTGTGTTAGTCTGTGATTCTGATAGGATGTGTCAGTTCCCTCCATGTCCAATTTGCTTGGTTCCTGTGGGTCACTGCAATGTCAACAAACATCAGTGTGTCTGCAAACATCACCCCACAGATGCACCTTAACGACTTCACCCTGGAAGGAGACTGTGCTCTATTCTGCCCTGACAATCCTAAGCACCAGGCAAAACTGCATTTTCACTTCATTTCTCCAGAAACTTGGGACCTCTCCCTAGCACGGCCCAGTTCTTCAGCCCCTTGGAAGACTGGGGGCCACACTGCAGCAAACGGAAATTATAAATAATTGTACAGCTATTAGGCATTAAGCAGGAGGGCAAAGCACAGTCTTCCAAGCTCAGTAAACAATGTCTCAAATAAACATTTCCCAGTGAGTTGAGAGAAATAGTTGGTGAGGGGAGCTCATGCCCCCAATTCCTCTCAAGGAGACCATGCCTTGAGCAACTGTTTACAAGAATATGCTTTTCAGTTGACCCTCCCACTAAACCCCGTTCCACCCAAGAAGACCTATCGCACTTTTAATAAAGTGAGCTCCTTATAGAACACAGTTTGATTAATTCTCGAGTTGCCTCATCTGAGGTCTGCTTTGGAAAAGGCTTGCTAACCTTGCCAAGTTTTTTAAAGCCGCCAGTAGTCTTTGTCAGAACAGGATTTGGGAATAGAATATATTTATTTAGGACCAAGCACAGTGTGGTTGAAGCCAATTATATCAATTAGCCCACAACCATCTTGTGAGCCATCTTATCTTCATTTTGTCAACTGAGAAAAATGTCTCAGATTAAATGAGTTCCCCTAGGTCACACAACCAGGCAGATCTGCCCGACAGAATCTATGATCTTTCTGCTGCACTGTGGCTATCCACATCTGAGGAATTCTGGGTAAGTTTCAATCCGCCTTCATTCTGTTGCTATAGGGCCATTTATTCATTCAACAAACATTTATCAAGTGTCCCCTATATATCAGTATCTTTGTCCATTCTGGCTGCTGTAACAAAATACCACACACTTAATGGCTTATATACAACAGACATTTATTTCTCACAGTTCTGGAGGCTAGAAGTTTGAGATCAGGGTATGGGCACAGTCGGGTCCTGGGGAGGCCACTCTTCTAGGCTGCAGACTGCCAAGTTCTTAAGGTATCCTCACCTGGCAAAGAACCAAGCAGAGGAAGCCTGTTCCCTTGTGATCTTATAAGGGCATTGATCCCATTGTGGGAGCTCTACCCTCCTGACCTCATCTAATGCTCCCAAAGGCCTCTCCTCCTAACAACATCATAGCAGTGGGGGGTGAGGGAGGTAGAGTTTCGACATGTGAATTTGGGGGGCACAGACCTTCAGTCCACAACAGTCGGGAACCATACTAGGCCCTGGGAATTCATTTTTGAACAAAATAGAAAAAGTTGCCCCCTCTGTTGGAGTTTACCTGCCATGAGGAAGACACATGGTGAACAGAATGAACAAGTAAAGTGCCTAGTGTGTGAGGGGTAATGTGTGTTATGGACAGTGGTGGTGTCAGTGGACAAAGAAGATGGGTTGGGACATGGTTGATTCTGAGATGTCTGTTAAACATCCAAGGGGAGGGTGAGCTGGAAGACATTTGGAAATACGGTCTGGAGTTCAAGGGAGAGGTGAATGAAGACACTTCCCTATGAAAAAGAGTCCGAGGAGAAATCCTAGGATTTTTTTCTATTTGTAGTTTAATAACTCCCAGTCAGCCAAGTCTGAGCAAGTGCAAAGGCCTGGAAGTAAGAGAAACACTGGGCGTTCGAAGAAATAAAAGGCACTTGGTGCCGCTGGAGAGTGGGATGTTAGGAAAATGGGAAAGAAAGAGGGGAGAGGTGACCAGAGAAAGGATTCAGAGGATCATGAAGCGCTTGGCTTCGCTGTGAGGAGAAGAGGACCGTGAAAGGGAGAAAGGAGGGAAGGTGAGGACTCTGGCTGCAGTGAAGGGTGAGACTGGAGGCAGGGGTTCCCCAAAACCTGCTGCAGGAGCCCGGGTGAGAGAGATCGGCAGCCTTAGGCAAGGTGGAGGCACAGGATGGAGACAAGTGAGGGGTCCACTCAGGCTTGGTCACAGAATGACAGGGCTTGGTGATGGATCGGAAATGAAGACTGCACAAGAGTGCAAAGGGGGTGCGTGACAGTGCACTCACCAATGTGGAGGTTCAGGAAGGGAAGCCAATTTGGAAAGACCAAAGGTAAGTTTAGTGTTATATATATATCGTGTTAGAGGTGACTAGAAAATCCAGGTAAACAGTTGAGTGTGTAGATTGGGAACTCATGGGCAAAATCTGAAGTACACATATTCAGCGGGGGTGGGGGCACACACACACACACACCCCAGAATGGATGGGGGGTCACCCAGGGCTAGTAAAGAGCAAGTTGAGGGAAGAGGAAGAGGACAGAACCCCATCAAACCCTACATTCTCCATAGGCACTCTCTCAATGTATCCTCTTAACAACCCAATGAGTTCAGTTTTATCTTTTGTCAAGTCTGCTTACATGTGAATTACACATCTGTTACATGAGGGGCACCTCCTGCATGAAAGCATGTAGAGAAAGTTTGAATACCATCATACAGTCTTTCTTCAATGCTAGAATTATGTAATATCCTATACAGGTGAAAATGAGAAACCCCCCCCCTTTTTTTTTTTTTTTACAATTTTTGAGGCAAGGATATTGGGGCTGATACTACAGTTTAGATTGAGAGGAAATTTATCGATATGGTAAAAGTCAAGTTAGAGAACCCCAGAAATCGGATAGGACATGGAGGTTTTGATACATGAAAATGGGCTTTTGGTCAATTAAGGTGAAAAGAGTAAGAAAATTTCCTCATGTTCCTTCAGGAACAGTAGTAATCAGTCAGGAGACATGGTGGTTAGACAAAGAATCATCCCACAAGGGGAAATATCACAAAATGCATAGTATTTTGTTATTATTTTTAAGTTCCCTTCTTATAGGAGTTCATGGCAGGAGAGGGAAAATATTTCTATAGAATCTCAAGAAAGCCTTTCCATGTGGGCTGATCCCAAATACATAAGACAGAATAGAGGCTTTTGAAATGAACCTTTAAAAATAATGGGTAAGTGTGTTTTTTTTTCTCTCTCTCTCTCTCTCAAAAAATTGTTACACGGTGTGATTTTAAAACATCTTAAATCCCCAAACAGAAACCAACTAAAATGCAATAATTTCATTGTAGGATGCCCTGAAAATAATATTTAACCCAGTGACTGCTCATCAAAGTGAGAACAATGATATGCTGGAATGGCACCTGGAGCGCGTTCCGTGGTCCGCACAGCTGGCTACCACAGAGCGTCTCGGGAACAAGCTCCGGGCTTTCAATGCCTTTGTGTAAGTGTTCACGTTCAGCTTAGCCATGAGATACGGCTCCTACATTTTTACACAGTAGAAAAGAAAGCCATTTTCCAAGTTTGTTTCCACAGCAACAACATTCCATATTGTCTTCTGTATCTAAACATGATTAAGCTTCAACCACAGGGAGTGGAATAAAATCCTTGCAAAATAACCAGTTGAGACCGACTGTGAGGGTGAAATCTCCAGTGGTCATATTCATTCAACAAGCAGTGATTACCAGCCTACCCTAGGAACTGTGCAAGGCCGTGGAGATGTGGGGTTGGAGAAGACCCAAGGCCTGCCCTCTGGATCGTCCGAGACTGGTGAGCTAGATGGCCAGGCAAAAGGGTGGACACAATGCACACATAGTATCACATGTCCTGTAACAGAGGCACAGTTGGAGTATTAGGAGGGAACCACCAACAGCCCAAGGAATTCACGGGTATTTTACCTAGATACTGAATAACTGATGAACTTTCCCCGGAAGAGTGAGAGAGGAGAGAGAGAGAACAGTTAAGGCAAAGGGAAATGTATGTGAAAAGCATGCAGATAGTAGGAGAGCGATGTCACAGAGAAAGGCAGTTTGGGTTGGCAGGAAGAGAAGCAGAGTGGAGAAAATGGGGAGCAGGATATGAGACTGGGAAAGCAGCGGGGGTTGTCTGGGAAGGACCCTCTGTGCCTTACTAAAGTGTGATGTAGATGATGAGGACCCACAGAACCCACTAAAGCAGAGGTGTGACCATATGTCTGCTGGGAGAATAGTCACGTGAGCTGCAGAATAATCAGTGGGGATATTTGGAAGAGCTGGGGGGAAGGGGGTGGAGGTAGAGAGATGCAGCTGAGATCTCCTAGTTTGTATGAAGATTTGGGAATTTACCAAGATGTAAAAATATCTGTGTAGGCTTTGGCTCCTAATGGATCACTCAGTAAAGGTTAGTCCGCTTTCTTTGACCTCTTCTCCCTTCCCCTCCCAATCCTGTTTAACCCCAGAGTGGGCAGATGAGCTGGAGTTAATCCTTCCCTGGGGTTTTGCAGAGAAGAAATTTAGGCATGACAAGAAAGATCACTAGCCCAAGATTCTACCAGTGGGGAGTGGCAGGACTGGAATTTGGAGCTAGGGCCTCCGACTCTAGAGGTTGGGTGTGTAATTACCACACTGTGCCACCTCTAACTGTGTGGGAAGTTTGCTGTCCGAATGAAATGAGAGAATTAATGTCTCTGGCTGAGATGATGATAGTGTTAACCCTTTGATTGATTCCTTACTCCTCTCCCAGTATCTGTCCTCCTGATCTGTGACCACAACCTGGTCACTTCCCATTTTTCAGAGGCTCACATCGGCTCTTGCGTTCTGTACTTACCCTCACCCCAAGGCTAGAATCACTCCCTACAGTCTTTAGATTTTCTAATCCCAGACTAAGCACACACTCTCCCAGCCCTTTTCATGAAATACACCTCCTATTGGCCCTTTGTGAAATATCTGAACCTCTTTATACAGCCCCCGGTACTCTCTCCCCACCAAGTAAGTACCAAAAGTGGGAAGCCACAAAGCTCCTCTTGACCAGAGATCTTGCTTGTTACAGCGACATCAGGTCATTGTTGCTAAGAGGCCACTCTATCTAAAACGATCCCACCCCGAGTTCTGAGCCACTTGGCCCAGGAGGGTCCAGTCGAGTGGCTGGCCAGTGGCCGACTCAATTCTCTTTCTCTCTCTTGCTTGAACTGAAACGAGCTGGACCAAACAGGGAACAGCTGAGGGACTATGCAGTCCCTACCCTTAGATCCTGCCTTTCATTTATACTGGCCTTTTGGCTACACTCTCTGCCTTTGGGACCCAAGAGATATCCCCTGTCTGCTTCTAATACGCTCTCTCCTGGGTATGAATTTTATGTGTGCTCAATTGTAAACCCCATCAGAGCCAGATTTTTAAAAAATGTTAAGGGGAGTGATCCAATCCATACTGAGACTCAGCACTGAAAGTATCTTTCTTTGTTCATAGCTTGTAATGATGTAAAACAGGCTCTTTCCGTTGCCTCCTGGTTTTATTTTTGTTTTTGTTTTAAACCTCCAGATAGTTCATAACAAAGATCTCTACAGAATCTTCTCCCACTTCTAGTAGCCTTAAAATATTTGACCAGCCTCAGTCTGACCATATTGCTACGCATGAGAACTCGTTGTAGTGGCTAATTTTTTTTGGTAATGGCTAATTTTATGAGTGCTACGAAGAATGGTACTGGAGAACATGCATGTGGGGTAGGGGGCCACCAATAAATTTCAGGAGTCAGATACCGCATCTGTTTATAATTGTCATAAGGTTGCGTGTGCACGTGCACCCCCCCACACATGCATAGCAGGATTTCACAGCACAAAAGGCAATACCTGACTTTTGAAAATCTGTCCTTTTTGATTTTGACAGTGAGCTCTGCCAGGTGGTCAATTTGAATGACCATTAATCAGTGCAATGGGGTATCAAAGGAGTCAAGAATCATTAGGAAAGAATTGTCCCCGAAAGGTTTTGCAATTTTCTAAATTTATTTTTATCTAAAGAGACTCATGAGACTCCACAGTGGCATATGTGTCCTATTTACTCCATCAGAACCAGGGTGGTCTAGCCCAGATTCACCAATGAGGGAAGAGCTCAGTAGGGCTGGAGGCAGCCACATTCTCAGGGGTCGGGGCTGATTACAGCAAATGGTTGGCACAAAGACATCATCTCATCCAAGGGGGGTGCAAGAAGTAGGGGTACCCGAGCAAGGTGGAGGCCTGGAAAATTGCCAGGTCTCTGGCGATTGGCACCACCAGTGGGGGGCGAGCAATTCTGTCTGGGGCAGGTTGGCCGGGTGCTAAAAAGGTGCAAGGCTTGGCAGTGAGATGGGTCTGTATCCTCAACAAGGGACCGCTTTCTATAAAAAGAAAAATACTCAGATTTAAAGGGACATAGCTAGCCACCCTCAGATATGTGAACGTTGCTATTAAACTGTAAAGCTGTCATAAAGGGAAGCATGAAGATTAATAGATAATATTCTTTAGCACTTTAATTTTGTAGAATTCAAAATATAGGAAAATGAATTTCCTGGCTTCTTGCCAAAGCAGATATAAATAAGTAGCTATCGAGGTTCTCATTTCCTGAGAATTTTAATAAAGAGAAATATTTATGGTTTGAAATTACCTCCAAAATTATGCAGCAAAGAATAGATAGTTTATGACTTCGGAGAACAAAAAGAAACTTGCAAATACTTGATGTTGGCAGATCAATTAAGTGGTAATACATGCTACATTATAATTTTAATCACCATGAAATTAAAATATGGTAATGAGTGTTAACATGAGTTTATCCTTTCAAACTATGATTTAATTTATGGAACTTTTCTTGACTACTTCCTTATTTCCATGGTTATTTTTCTTATTCTGTGTGCTACTTTGATTTTATACTTTCCAGTGCATATTATTCAGGACAGCCACCAATTAAATGAGTTCTTTATCCCTTATCAATTAAGGATCTTGTAGGCTATTCTTGCTCATTTTAATCTAGTTCTTTCCGCCTCCCTGCATAAAATATATGGAAAATGAAAGTAACTCTTTTTTTTTTTTCTTTAGGTCTCCCTCTGGTTTTCAAATTGTTTCTTTTTTCCCGTGATACAAAGACAACCCGCGCGTCAGCTTGTCCTCTTCAAGGGCAGCCTTCCTCTAACAGATTTGGGGCAAAGGGAAGAGTTTGTTCTTGGCATCCGTGTGGCAGTTTTGGGGGCCTGGTGCACACCTCCTGCCTCTCCTGTCTCTGCTCTAGCTCTGGGTGCCCTCCCTCTCTCTTGGGGTGCCGCCCGCCCACACTGGCCCCAATGAATGGGTCACATTGCAAAGACAGTGTATCCCTTTAGTGCTCAAATCTCTAGCTCCCAACCCCTCATTTTCAAAGCTCCCTGATGGGATGTCCAAAAGTTATCTCAATAAAGGAGAAGAAAATGTTGAATAGTACACCAAAAGTGACTCAGATGGTCTATGGGAAAAGAACAACTAAAAATGGTAAACCCTTCGCAGAGGATCCCACTGTGTCTCCCGAAGGTACCAGCTTACAACTTTTGTCTTGAGATCAGCACTCCTCTCTGTCCTTCCATCTGGACCCCTCTTCTTTAGCTCCCTACGTGTAAAAGCTCATCCCTCCCCTACACGGTGGGGAATCCCCACCCCTCCACCCATAGTTGTTGGTCTAACTCTAGAATCCGTTTGTTCCTCCCAGTAGGCAATCCCAGGGTCACTATAATCCCATTTCCCAAATGCTTTTTTTTTTTTTTTAAATATGGTTTGTTCACCCAAAACCTCATGCAGGGATGGGATTGGTTTGGGGGTGGGGTGCCGAAGCAAGGCAGTCTTAGGTAAGGTGCTTGTGCTAAAGCCAACGCAATTTCCTGTCCCCTCGTTAAACACCTCTCAGACTGGTTACACTTTCCGGTGCCTGTGATAAGCCGTGCTCAGATCAAGCAAGCATAGCTTAGTTGCCCACTCAGAGGAAACACCAATTCTTGCAAGGTGAGGCTGTGAATCACCTACACAGTTATCCAGACTAAGGGTGTGCTCATCAAAACTCACTTCAAAGTCCTAACCTTGCTGTAGTCACCAATCTAAAGCGATCATGCCATAAACTCTACCCAATCCTACCTTCTTCCTTGTCTCGCAAGATTTGCCTTTGCCTTCCCTGTCCAGGCTCTTGTTCCGGGCTTCCATGGCTCCCCATCAGCATCCCGGTTTACCTGTCCAGCCTCGTCTCCCTCACTCCCAACACTGCCCATTCAGAACCCTGAAGAAGTTGTCACCAACCCCAGTGCACACCTACAGACCAAGATGTTTCACGTTTCCATGCCTTTGGTCACTGTCCTCGCTATTTTAAGTCCTCTCCTCCTCTTCCCCTTGTCGCCTTGGATAAATTCTCTTCAGCTTTGATGGGTCTGAGGCCTCTTTGGGGGAAGCCTACCCTGAACCTTGGGCCACACGAGGTGCCCATCATTCTCTTTTGTCAGAGCCCCTGTGCCCTCCCAACATCGCCGTGGAATGGTCCATCTATACATCCTGCCCTCTCAGCAGAACCCCATGAGAACAGAAACTGTCTTACTGAGCTTAGGGTGCCCCAGGCCCCCCAGTTCTAGTTCCTCTGGAATGCATGGCTGGGAGGTGTTGAACGGAACTGGCCTGAGCTGGTTTTGCCATCATAGCCGTGGGGAATATTTTTCTTGGTGTATTGTTTGTCTTTCATTTAGGTTGTGTGAGTTTTTGACATAGAGCAATTTTTAATTTTTATGGAGTTAAATCTATTGATCTCTGTGTGATTTCTTCTATTGATTTTGAGCTTAAAAAGTGACGAACTGATTTTTAAGCGACTCCTCCTGACTTGGCTGAGAAATTCTGCAACCTCATCCTCCTCACGGGGAATAGGAAAACTATATGCAGAGGAGAAAAGGAGATGTCTTCCCCATCTATTCTCAGAAATCCAGGGCTCTTTTCTTTTTCTTCTCAGTGAGGGATGGTGCATGGGTTAAAGGCACAAGCTATATTTTGTATCTTGGCTTTTATAATTTTCATCAATACATGAAGACAGCTGTCTTCAGGCTAAGCAATTCCATTTGTCTTTAGGCCACAAAAGGCAGCCTATTCCTAAGTGCTTTCAAGTGACAGAAAAACAACATTTGCTGTTTTACTCTTTTCTCACCTTATTTTCTAAATAAGTATGAATACACCACAGCAATTTACTCAGCAGGCTGTGCTTGCCTAGCTTCATGCTTGGCTCTTGGATGTTCTCCATCTAGAATGTTGGCTCATTGTCCCAGGATCAGCTCAAATGTTATAGCTTTGATAAGCCCCTTCTCTGAGGAGCTCCTTCTCCTTCTAAACTCATTTCCCCCTTTAGATATGTGCTCGTATACAACACGACTGAAATGTAAGCAACACAAGGGCACAACTGATGTCTCGTGCATTCCTTTATGCATTTCCTGCTTACACATCAGCAAAACATAGCAGATTCTCTGCAAAGCACAGGAGAGAGGCGTGAACAAGACAGGGCCTGTCTCTGTCCTCATGGAACTTGTGTTCTAGAAGGGGAGAGAGCTAGCCATTAAACAACTAGTTCCACATTTGATTACAAGCTTAGAAAGTGCTACAAAGGCAAAGTGTAGGAGGGTAAGTGAACAGAGGAGTGAGCGAAGGGGAGGTCAAGGAAAGCTTGTCTGGGACGTTTTATATATATATAGTTAGTTAGTTAGGGTTAGTTAGTTTCAAGAGTAGAATTTAGTGGTTCATCATTTATATATAACAGCTGGTGCTCATAGCAACAAGTGCCTCCTTAATCCCCATCACCTATTTAACCTATCCCCCCACCCACCTCCCCTCCGACAACCCTCAGTTTGTTCTCCATAGTGAAGAGTCTCTCTTATGGTTTACCTCTCTCTCTCTCTTTTCCCCGCTATGTTCATCTGTTTTGTTTCTTAAATTCCCCATATGAGTGAAATCATATGTCATTTGTCTTTCTCTGACTGACTTATTTTGCTTAGCATAATATACTCTAGCTCCATCCACATGGTTGCAAATGGCAAGATTTCGTTCCTTTTTGATAGCTGAGTGATATTCCATTGTGTGTGTGTGTGTGTGTGTGTGTGTGTGTGTGTGTGTATACACAACATCTTCTTTATCCATTCATCTATCGATGGACACCTGGGCTCTTTCCTAGTAGTTTGGCTATTGTTGATAATGCTGCTATAAACTCTGGAAAACAGTATAGAAGTTCCTCAAAAGTTAAAAATAGAACTACCCTATGACCCAGTAATTGTACTACCAGGTATTTACCCAAAGGATACAACAATACCGATTTGATGGTAAGTGATATTTTAAGTTGACATCTGAAGATTGGTAGACGTTAGCTAGGTAATGCAGAGAAGAGGGAGGGCAGAGCATGCCGGGGAAGGGAATAGCATATGCAAAGTTTCTTAAGCACATTCTACCACATGGTGGGCTAAAGTCACCACTTGCATCAGATGGTACCCAAAACACATGTATTATGTAAGGAAAATGGCAACATATAGTAAATGAAACAATATAATTGTGTACATTAATTCTTTCCAATGTTCTAACATGTTCAACTCTTTCCAATGTTCTAACATGTTCAACTCTTCAAAGTGGAAGCATCAAAAGTAAAATTAAGGGGTGCGTGGGTGGCTCAGTTCGTTAAGCATATGCCTTTGGCTCAGGTCATGATCTCAGGGTCCTTGGATTGAGTCCCACATCGGGCTCCTGGCTTAGCGGGGAGAGCCTGCTTCTCCGTCTGCCTGCCACTCCCCCTGCTTGTGCTCTCTCTCTCTGGCAAATAAATAAATAAATAAAGTCTTTAAAAAAAAAAAGTAAAATTAAGAACTGTCAATTTACTGGAGAGACAGAATATGATAGTGGTTAAGAACATGACTCTGTAGTCTGATAGGATTAAACCTCAGTTCTATTATTTATAGTAGCTGTGCAACCTGGGGCAAGTTACTTAACTTCTCTGTGCCTTTCTTCATCTGCAAAATAGGATAATGATGATGGTGGTAATGATGATAATAATAATAATAATGGTACCTACCTCATAGGGTAGCTATAGGAATTAAATGAGATAAAACATGAGAGGATCTGAGAACAGGCAATAAAGATCAGCTCTCCTCGTTTAGTGAAACCAACACATCATTTGAAAGTCTTCTCAATATCACCACCTAAATAAATATTTATTTGAGTTTGAATTAACAGTACTAACAGTTTTCAAGAAAAGGGAAAGTATAATTTTTCTTTTTTTGCCTCTGCCTAAGGAATTTCCCTGGTGAGTATGTCTATATATAGCATCGATTGGTGAAAAGTAGAGCAAAGAACAAAATTTCCAAGTGATAAGATTATATTTCAGTCTCAGTCATAATTACACACCTTCATAGCCGCTCTCATGAATTGCAAGCCTCATTTCTTGTCTGTTTTTACTTTTAAATACCTGCAGGTTTCGGAATCCTATTGGCAATCTTCTGCAACTTTTCAAACTGGGGCAGCTGAATTAGATCCTGCCTTTGCTCTTTTCCATCAGCAATTTGCTTAAGTTTTGAAAAACATCATTAAAACAAAGGATGCAGTGAGTATGCCCAAACATCGAGCTTTTGTTTGTTTCTGAGACAAAATCGTGAGGAGGGAAGTGACTTGCAAATGATTAATAGACTTGGTATTTAGACTTTCCAGCCTTGATTTCCAGCCTTGGAGCTTGCATTTAATTTTAAGAAAAACCAGCCTGTTGCTAGAGCTTCATTTCACACCTTGCATTTCTGCATCAGATTGACAAGCCCACTGGCCTTCCATTTTGCCCAGCAGAGCTAGACAGGAGGCAAAATTAAAAAAGGAGCATTTGAAGGGCAACTGGACTAGAACAGAAGAATAATCATTAGTTAATTTTTTCTCACCTCATCTTGAACAATGACAGGCAGTTGTTCTTTTCACCCCCTACCCTCTTGGTAAGCCTTTTCCAGGATGTGTGTTGTGCAGGTGGCCAAGGCGGCCTGAGTCAGTGTGGGGGCAGAACAGGAAGTCTGCTAAGATCATGAACTCACTGCTGTTTAGCTTCTGATTTGGAGATACATCAGTTTATTGACTTTTTTTTTTTTCTAACAGCTTTATTTATTGAGATAGAATTCACGTATGCTGTATTTCACCCATTTGAAGTGTACAATTCAATGGTTTTGTCTCTTTACAAGAGTTGCACAACCATCACTCCCCCCCGACAATATCCTCATCTTCTTATCCTTACTTTCTGTGTCTACAGATTTGCTTTTTCTAGACATTTCATATAATTGGAATTTTATAGTATGTGGCTTTTGGTGACCGGTTCTTTCACCTCGCATGATGTTTCATTTATCAGTACTTTAGTCTTTTTTATGGCTGAATAATATTCCATCTTGTGGCTGTACCACCTTTTGCTTATCCATTCATCCATTGATATGGACAGTTGGGTTGTTTCCACCTTTTGGCTGTTATGAATAGTGCTGGTACGAACAATCATGCACAAGTTTTTGTGTGGACATATGTTTTCCTTTCTCTTGAGTTTGTACCTAGGAATCAAATTTGCTGGGTCAAATTTTCTTGCTATTTTAACTCAAACACAAACCTTACACCACATTAAACTAAATGATAGCATTTTGTAAATAAATGAGGCACTTATAAATTTTAATTATAACTGTCTTCTAGAATATTTAATCCCCTAATTTATCCCGATAATGTTGACTCGGTTTCTAGTAGGTGCTTTGCGCTGTGCTGTGTATTGGCGATTCAAAGGGGACTAAGATAAGGCCCATAACTTTAGAAGGACTTATTGTTTATAAAAATAACTAATGTGTACTGGATCCTTACTTTGTGCCAAGCATGATCCTAAACGTTTTATTGGTATTAAATCCCTGACTACCACTGTTACCGTATGAGGTAGATACTATTACCCTCATTATATAGAGAACTTAAGTAACCTGCCCAAGGTCATGCAGGTGCTAAGTAGCAAAGCACAGTGGTCTTTATTAACTTGTCACTCTCCCAGGCTGCTTCTCTAACAACAATACCATTCAAGAGTTAAGTCTGAGTCATCTGAAGTTAGACATCCTGGGTTTGAATGCTGCCCTCCCCACTTACGACGTGACTTTGGGCAAAAGAATTGCACCTTTTAAACCTCAAATGCCTACTCTGTAAAAAGAAGCTAATCCAGTGACCTACTTCATAGAGTTGCTGTAAGCATTAAAAGAGATAAACATATACCAGGTGCTTGACATGTAATTATCATTCAATAAATATTAGCTGTTATTATTCATAATAAACTCTATAAGCAAAACATTACAAGGGCATATGATATATAAGGGCTGCCAAGTGTTGCAATTTGTCTTCGCAAGAAAGGAAAAAAATCAGGCTAAGCTGCAGAGTAGCTAAGCCTGTTTGCCTCCTTGTACCCCAATTCTATCCATCGATAGTAACAACTAAAGTCTTAAAAGCTAGCTTCAGTTTATCTCTTCTCCTTCCATCTCTGTGCTGCTGGGGAGCCTAATGCAGGATAGCTATTTGTATTCTGTAAGTGTCTCTCGTCTCATCAAGAAAGGGGCCCATCCAGGCTTGTTTTTGGGTGGGTTTGGAACCCGACACCCAGGAAATGGGGGTAGCAGCAAAGGAATCAATCCAGGCATCTATGAAGGTGTCAGCCAGGCAAGATCCATTCCTCTGCAGGCACTTGCCAGGAAAGAAAAGGCCATACCATTATGCAAGGGAAGATCTCATAGAAATGTGTGATGCATTTAAACAGAAATGCATTCTATCCTCCGCAACTTGGGGGAGTTGCTGTTGCACTGGGATCGGGCTGACATGGGATTGGGGAGGCTCGGGGTGTGGTGTGACTTGTCACACTAAGTACACTTGTCTCCCACGGCAACGGGTTACTGGGCAGCAGGCGACAGCAGGGCTGGGAAAAGCATTCAGGGGAATGGTCAACAGGGAGCCCTTCTTTGCATATTTATCCGGCCCCATATTTGGCTGATGGCTTCAGAATGTTTTAAACAGTCATCAGCATTCCCTGCTGTTCTTGCGGACAGGGTTGCTCCGGAGGAAAGAAGAATCAAGATTGGCTTCCTGATTCTTGTTACAGGAAAGTCAGACATCCAGGGAATCTGGCCATGGAGAAGGCAAAGTCCAGAATGTGTATGAATTTATGGATATACACATACAAATACACACCACACTGACTCTCCTGAGGGTCCTCACACTCACATAGTTGATGCTTAATAAATATTTACTCCCTCTCTCCTCACTGTCTTAGAGATCTATATGTATCATCACTACTTGCTTACACCTGTCTTTGCCCATCAGATTGGATTTTGTGGGGAACAGAGACTGTGTGTTCTTCTCTTAGTAGTCTCAAGACCTGGCAAGGAATCTGGACCTTGGTATGTGCCAAAAAAAAAAAAAAAAAAGAAAGAAAGAAAAGAAAATTTCTAACTAAATAGCATACTAAGGCTGTATATAACCTTTGGCTGGAATTCTATTTAATTAAATGATCACATCAAGGCTGTGTGGGCGGTTTTATTGTTCCTATTTCACCAGACGAGGAAACTGATGTTGAGAAAGGTTAAGCAACCTGCCCAAGGTCTTATGGTTGGTGGAGCTGGAACTGAATTTCAAGTTGAGCATCTGATGGGTGATTAAGACTCACATAAAAATCAATCAACCTATTATCACATTAAGACACTAACTAGGATGACTGAAAGAAAATGCTTGAAGCTTCCAGGAAATTCAATATCATCAAAGAGCTTACATTAATTGCCTTCAGACCCATGACACTGAGCTAAGTGCTATAAGAGATAATCCACGCAGGTGGCATGGCTCTCCAGTGGATTTTTTTTTTTAATAAAACCTATACCTAGAATATAATTATATGTAAGAGGAAGATTAGCAACACCATGAACTTGAACCAATCTGAAACTGGACCAGATGGACGAGAGCTCCCTGAGAATAAGGACTGGGTCTTTCTCATCACTGTGGTCCCAGTGTCCTGCACAAACTGGGCACAAAGCTGGTACCCATTAAGTGCTGCAGAGATGGACCCCATTTTCAGTATGAAGGCTAGGTAACCATTGGATATGAAATACAAAATGTCCATCAGTAGGATCAGTGTCGAAGTGAATGTACCCCTTCTTGCTGGCCTCCCCACTTCTTTTTTTTTTTTAAGATTTTATTTATTTATTTGACAGAGAGAGATAGCGAGAGCAGGAGCACAAGCAGGGGGAGTGGGAGAGGGAGAAGCAGGCTTCCTGCCGAGCAGGGAGCCCGATG